CAAACATCGATTCTATTGCAAACGACTGAAAGAACTTTTTTGATACAGCATCATGCCAATCTTAACCAACCATGTACACATCATTTCATAACCATGCTAAATATTTGATTTTACTGTGATAAAACACAATTGAACGTACGTTGTTATATTATAAGCAAACGTTACAAGCCTTTGTATTACCCCTCGCATAGGGCTTTTTTGCTACTAGCGAACGATACATTTTACCACTCGCATATGCCGTTTTTACCACTAGCATATGGCATATTTTGCTACTTGCGACTCGCAACTTGGTACTCGCATACGGCACTATTTCTAGGTCGTACATACCTGTCATTATGGTAAGTAATAAGAAATCCAGTATCCACTATCACAGTCAGGCCTGCTAGAGTAGGCCATTATGGTAAGTAATAAGAAATCCAGTATCCACTATCACAGTTCAGTCAGGCCTGCTGGAGTAGGTCATTATGGTAAGTATTAACAAATCCAGTATCCACTATCACAGTCAGGCCTGCTAGAGTAGGTCATTATGGTAAGTATTAATTAACAAATCCAGTACTCACTATCACAGTCAGGCCTGCTAGAGTAGGCCATTATGGTAAGTAATAAGAAATCCAGTATCCACTATCACAGTCAGGCCTGCTAGAGTAGGCCATTATGGTAAGTAATAAGAAATCCAGTATCCACTATCACGGTTCAGTCAGGCCTGCTAGAGTAGGTCATTATGGTAAGTATTAACAAATCCAGTATCCACTATCACGGTTCAGTCAGGCCTGCTAGAGTAGGCCATTATGGTAAGTATTAACAAATCCAGTATCCACTATCACAGTCAGGTCTGCTAGAGTAGGTCATTATGGTAAGTAATAACAAATCCAGTATCCACTATCACAGTTCAGTCAGGTCTGCTAGAGTAGGCAATTATGGTAAGTAATAACAAATCTAGTATCCACTATCACAGTCAGGCCTGCTAGAGTAGGCCATTATGGTAAGTAATAACAAATCCAGTATCCACTATCACAGTCAGGCCTGCTAGAGTAGGTCATTATGGTAAGTAATAAGAAATCCAGTATCCACTATCACGGTTCAGTCAGGCCTGCTAGAGTAGGTCATTATGGTAAGTATTAACAAATCCAGTATCCACTATCACGGTTCAGTCAGGCCTGCTAGAGTAGGCCATTATGGTAAGTATTAACAAACCCAGTATCCACTATCACAGTCAGGCCTGCTAGAGTAGGCCATTATGGTAAGTAATAACAAATCCAGTACTCACTCTCACAGTCAGGTCTGCTAGAGTAGGCCATTATGGTAAGTAATAACAAATCTAGTATCCACTATCACAGTCAGGCCTGCTAGAGTAGGCCATTATGGTAAGTAATAACAAATCCAGTATCCACTATCACAGTCAGGCCTGCTAGAGTAGGCATTATGGTAAGTAATAAAAATCCAGTATCCACTATCACGGTTCAGTCAGGCTGCTTGAGTAGGCATTATG